CAGAGAGGGTCCCTCCCCCCACCCCACCGCCTCCTCTCCCACCCGGAGGTGGTCTAATGTGTGTGTGTGTGTGTGTTTGTGTGTGTGAGCGCATATGCGTGCGAATGTGCATGCCTTTGGGGTTGGAACGAGGTTTTGTTGGGGGGGTAGAACCGGTGTGCTCAGGTGTCCGGGCTGTCACGGTGCAGAGTGGAAAAGACCCGGGAAGAGAAACCACTTTTTTTTTTCTTTGGATGTGCTATTTGATTTATTTACTTATTTATTTTTTCATTCCTCCGACTCTTTTTTTCCCCTCCGCCACTACAGATTCCCTTCGCGTTCGTAATTACAGGAGTGGGTGTTAACTCGCTTAATTATCAGAAACATTTACCTTTTTATTTCTGTCACCTGAATGCATCTGAACGTACAAACAGCCGTCGCGGTTTTCTACCGATTCAAAAAAAAAAAAAAAAAAAAAAAGCAAGGATCCAGCACGCAATGTTGTTGAGATTTCCACTTTTCTTTGCTGCACATTACTGTAAATTAAAGGAGAAAAAACACTTCTTGCCACAAATGCTGCAATGCAAACCTTTTATGAACAAACTCTTGACGACAGAGAAAAGAAATTATTCTTAAGCCACTTCAGATGTTGGTCCTTGGGTAAAAAAAAAAAAAAAATCACATACAAGCGGACTATCAAAGTTCCTCTTCTTTGTAAACAAACTCGTAAACAACTAAATGGAAATGTTATGAAACGCTTCGTCGAAATTTCGAAGCGGATCCTCTTTTGTGGGTTTTGCTGGGCTTGATGGATTTCAGGTGTGTGTTTTCTGAATGTTTGCAAGGCATCCTGTAGCATTCAATGCTGACTGGAGCCTTCTTCACACACACACACACACACACACACACACACACACACACACACACACACACACACACACACACACACACACACACACACACAGAGAGAGAGAGCGTGTGTATGTGTGTGTTCATGAAAGATCTCATTATTAAGCTTTGAACGTGATTAAAATTCAAGTAAATCCTAATGTAACAGAGCTTCGCTTTGGAATTTTAAGAATGTTTACGTTTTTACAGAAAGAGACTGACTAACTTCTTGTCAGGCATATTGTCACATGTATGTATTCTAGCTTTGTGACTTGATAGTCTTCTTTTGTGGTGGAAAAAAAAGGATTATTTACAGTCATCTTTGGTGGATTTATGGTGATGTAAACATAAAATCCCCTTGAATACCGCACGCGCGCAGTGTTTACAGAATAGAACCGGAGTTTGCGATATGGAAAGAGGGTAGACGGCGCGTGCGCGCGAGCGCGTGAGGTTTTTGCAGTGAAAAGAAGAAAGCCTGTTGCTGTCCTTGGTGCTCCCTGCCTTCAGCACCACGGACAGCTTCCTCATTCTTCTCCGCAGGTGAGGCTGCGGCGCACGGCGGAGCGCAACAAAAGCAACAGCAAACTGGGATTTTTTTTTCTTTCCCTTTTTTTATTCCTTTGCAACAACCATGCTATGTAGCTGCTTTCAAATATGCTCCCCGGTGCTTTTCTTCCCTATTCTTTTTCCTCCTTTACTAGGGGAAAGGTTTCAGTTTTAATTAATTTTTTAAGCGTTATCAAAAAGTTTAAAATTGCAACAAAAGTAAGTGTCGACCTTTGAAATGTCTGTTCCCATATGGCGGAGATTCAAACTTAAAGTTATAAAAACAGACCAATTTGGGCAGAACAGAAGTGGGCGGTAAAAATGTAAATTTACTCGAGTGCTGTACTTAAGTACAGTTTTTAATGTCGGTGCACCGGTTACAGTTCTCTGACCAAAGGCAGATTACCGATGTATTAAAAAGCCCGATCTGGCGATTCCGATTCTTGGCCGACACCGATTGTTTTTTTCTGGATGAAGTGTTGCTAAATATAGCAAGAAAGCCACTGAGTTGGCGGAACAGACCTGGTGGGCGGGGCTAACAGTCAAACCTTTCTCACAGCAGAGCATTAGTGGCCAGTGGCTGATTTTTTAGACCGTAAATAAGATTGGTCGGCTTCACTTGTAAGTATTGACTGATCACCAATCTCCCAAAATCAAGAAAATTGAGGCCGATTTCACGGCTAGCTGATTTATCGTTGGACCCCTATTTTTTCAGAACATGTACTTGAGTGGATTTTTTTTTTTAAATTAATACTTTCACTCCATTAAATTTTAACAATAAAATCATTCTGTTTACTTCACTGTCTTTCACTAAATGTTTCTGTTATTTGTTGTTTCTGTCGGTTTTTGTTTGTGTAGTTTGTCCATTTTGTTCCACCGACAGTGAAATTACACGCGACACCTCTGGGTGGCGATATGCAACCTTAAATCAATTTCAAGAAGAATAATCATTTTCGTCCTACTCATGTTGCCTTATAGGCATATGAATGAATAATACATGAAACGGCAAAGTGTCTTTGAGTGTGTAGGAAAAGCTAAAAAAAAAAAGCATTATTATTGGTGAGCTGGGATCTGTACAATATAGTATCAAATTGTCCCAATTATTTTTGATTACACTCCAGTGAAAGATGTCGTCAAAAAACATCCCATGTTTTAGTACGTTCAATACTTTAGGTATGTTTGACATAAGTAATAATTTGACAGAGTTTACTGGAGTAATACCTAATCAGTAGGATCAGTACTTTGACTCAAGTAATGAAACAGAGCACTTTGAGTCTGTTTTCAAATGCTCCTTTTAGTGAACTCCATTTTCAAATTTGTTTACAGTTTCAGTACAATCCATTCCAGTCCATTAGTAGAGCTTTTTACAGTTAAAAAAAAAAGAAAAAAAAAGAAAGAAAATCACAAATGGATGCCATTCGCACACTTGACTTTAGATGGCGGAAAAGTACTTCCACTAGGTCTGTGGTATGAGTAGAAAATGACTCAACAGGCAAGAGGTGATTTGAGGCAGTTTTGAATTCAATAGTCTAAAAGGGGTTAAAATTGATTTAAATTTTCAGTTTAATTCTGGGTTTAAATTTAAGAGTTAAATTATTAAACACAACAAAAAAACAACTTAACACTTTAGCATAGCAGACTTTATAGGCAGTATAATACAGTGTGTTTAAAAACTATGTGAAAAAGGTTGAGGTTCCATATGTATGGAGATGGTGAATTTTATCTTTCGAGTTTAATTTTTGTTTAATCTGATCATTTTGATTACAGATTTCAGCTGCCAATAATAATATTACTCATTTAGGAATCTGAGTTAGGGGAAATCGCCATCAACTCTTTATTTTGCCTTCAGACATATTTTTTATTGATCTATTTACTCTTACATTCATGAAATATAACTCTGTGTATCCCTACTAGCAGGAATAATTCAACAAGTAGCATTCAAATACGTTAACACCCATTAACGTATAAAGATTTTTCTTTGCATTATCTCAATAAGATTGGGTTCACATTTAACAGAGACCTAATATTTTTCCCCATATTTGATATTCAGAGACATTCAGAGACATTTTGAAGGCAGACTCATTCTTGATAAGCAACAACAAATCTAAAGGATGTTATTTTTCTCTGAAATATTTCTATGCTGTTTAAAAGGTCGTTGGGACCCCCTGCTGGCCTGGGGGTCTTAAGAAGAGTCTTACTTTGTGTATTCCTTGGGCTGACCATAATAAACTCGTATTGTGTTGCATGAGCTCAGACCTGGACCAGTCAATGGCAAATCAAGGATGAGACTAAGAGTTGGGTTGTCTCCAGTCAGGAAGGGGGTAATCTCCCTATGTTGACTCTCCACTGCCTGGACAGTCCTGGACAATGATTTAAAAGTTGTAATATTTATTTATTTGTTTATTGTTTTGCACTTTTTGTCCTTTCTCAATTACCAAAATCCAGTGAATAAAGTCAAAATTAGTTTAGGAGAGAGAATGTTACTTTAGAAACTTGTCAAATCAGCTGATTTTAGTTGTAGAGTATTAGACTGTTTTGGACAATCAATATTAAAGTTTTTCTTATTCTTATTCCTGGGCCTTAATTTAAAGTTCCACCACAAACAAACCCCCAGAAATTCAGCCTTTTCGAGTTCATGTCCCAAACCTCAAGGTTAACAGTGACTCCCATCTTACTCACTTATTTGCTTGTCAAGTATTTCCAGCTTAAAATAAACACAGCGCACATTAAGGGAAAAGTTTGAAGGAAAAATGTCGTGTTGTTTGTTGCTTTTAGCTCATCACTCTTTCGTGTACTTAAGCTAACGTCTCCCTAGTTTAACTCTCATTATCGTCCTCAAAGACCTCAGTCGCGTAAAATGAGTGAAAATTCACACCTGCAGTCATTCAAACGAGACCCCAAATATAATGCCCCGTTAAGGCGGAGCAGAACCAGCCTCTCCTGCGTCCACTTACACGAATTAGCCTCTCTGCTTGTTTGCTTAACTGCAACCAACAAAACGAGCCTGTTGGTAAATATTGAAATTCCCTTCGGCTGGGGGCCTCCCTGTTAAAGCACCAGGTGACCGGGCTCTCCCCATTGATAAGCTCCAGTTAATCCATCGCATTTCCCTGTAAATAGCTGCGTGCATGAGAAAGGCCCTCGAGGCCCCCCCACCTACCCTCTCCTCCTCTTGTCACGCAAGGCCGCTGAGGGTATGTATCAGAAAGCATTGTTTTGGATAACTCCTAATATCTTTTTGTTGTTGTTGTTTTTAATTTGATCTCAGTGTGCTTACAGGAATCTCCAGAGTGAATGAATTCATGTGCGAAGTCTCCATGAACCGGCGTCACCACAAACGGGGCCCAGGTATTTCTGCGCTCCGGGGTCCTGGCTCGGAGGCTATGTACACACACACACACACACGCACACGCACACACGCACACACACACACACACACACACACACACAGCTATGAGCGTGTAACCATGACAACTGCGCTCTGATTGGCTCGTCTGATGCGGGGAATTAACAGGGGCCTCGTCCAATCTGAGCTCTGGATGCAGCTCCGCGCTTGGCGGAAAAAAAAAAACCTCTCTCATGATAACCCAGGCACAGTGATGTGAAAGTGGCAACGTGAGGTGAGCCCGGAGGAAATTACTGGACTAAAAACAAGGCGCGAGCGATGAGGGGATTATTTTAAATAATAATAATTAAAAAAAAACCTAAACTAATAAATGAAAGATGACGTTTTAGGTGTTTGAAACAGAAGAGAGAAAATATGGTTGGTTTGTGCATCACGCAGCCCTGAAATCTCTTCCCTCTCTTCTTTTGGATTGTGGATTGGTGACAGCATCCCGACCCAGGACTCAGGACCGGAACAGTCCTTTTTTTCTTTTCTTCTTCTTCTTCTTTTTTTTCCCTCTGGTGGATTGAGGGTTGGGGGAGAATCTTCCACTTTTCACCCCGGCAGAGCTCATCAACCAGGAGCCAAGACGTTGTTCCGCGTAGAGCCGGCTTGCCCCAGTCCGAGCAGCGCAGTCCGTGCAGCAGGGAGGTCGGCACTCGGCGTCTCACGGGCCGGCAACATGATGGTCCTCTGCGCCGGCTGCGAGCGGCCCATCCTGGACCGGTTCCTGCTCAACGTGCTGGACAGAGCCTGGCACGCCAAGTGCGTCCAGTGCTGCGAATGCAACTGCAACCTGACCGAGAAGTGCTTCTCCCGGGACGGAAAGCTCTATTGCAAAATGGACTTTTTCAGGTAACGCGGAGAAAGACTGGACTCGGTTGGGAGGATTTTTTCCTTTTTCTTTTTCTTTTTGCGTAGATTGTTAAGGGTCAAAATGTTAAATTTCACGCGGAAAAAAAAAAAATCTGACCCAATCATATTGGACCAAAAACAGATCAGTTTAAAAATAATTCACCTTTAAAATCAAATCAGTAAAAGCAATGCAGTGACAATAGTCAGCTTTATGCAACATTCTAGTGAAATTGCCTTTAACAAATTATATATAAAATACTCTCGTCTATATATACAATCTGTTGTATATATATATATATATATATATATATATATATATATATATATATATATACTCAAATCAGTCCAACTAAATGAAGTTCAATCTAAAACAAATAGAGGAGTGCATCAGGTTCAGTTTATAATGCCAATTGATAAAACAGCTTTAAATAAATAGTATGCTCCCATTTTTTCTATGAGGAAACTGCTTTGCTTTGTTGTTTTTTTTAATTATTATTATTGTTATTTAATTTTTTAAAGTCCACTCTCAGCTCCTGGTGCCACTTCCCAAACATCCATTAGGCCATTAACTGGTTCCCAATTCCTCCCCCCCCCCGCCCCCCGAAGTGTTCCAGGTAATTGGGTGATATAATATAAGTGAAGTCCTTGTTTTTGTCGCATCATTTTCATTTTCAACGTGACTGTCCTACCCTTCCCAAATTGTCTAATGACATGTAAGTCGCGTCATCCCCCCACCCCTTTACCTCCCCCCTCTATGTTTTAGTTGGGGGTCCGGGGCTGTTATTGGCCCCTCGCGCGGCCTTGGCCATCATATTACTGCGGGTCCCCATCAAGCGCGCTGGATTTAAATGGCCCAGCCATTAGCCGGGCGAAACAGTAATCACCCTAATGTGTCCATTTGTTGTGTAAGTAGTGTTGTGCCCTTTTTTTTTTTTTTTTTTTTTGGAGAGGCGATGAGGGGGGTGGGGGGCTGGCCATGCATGTGAAAGGCGCACGGTGAAGCGATCCCATTGCAAATGAGGAAACAAGCTCAGATTGGTGTTAAAAAACCCCACAACAAAACAAAACAATGCTCCACAATAAAGGCAGCTTGCTCTCACCCCAAAGGCTCAAGCAGCAACAAATTTCAATAGAATTCTGTTACAATTAATAAAAAAACAACAAAACTGTATTTTTTTTTCTCCATCCTCCTATATTTAGAGGATCAGATTTATTTGCGCTATATTTGTGCATCAAACTGATGAGTCGTCCCACCATTTAGGCGGCTGAATATGGATTAAAGGAAGATTTTCACGCTAAGATGCTCCCCCACTCTGCTTAATCCCATACTATATCCGCGGCTACAATGTGTTGATTGTCACTAATACGTTTTTGCGTGGGGTTATTGTCAGAGCGCCTCCGTCAAAATTAGCTCCCTTTTCCCCTTGTATTATTATTATTACTGTTATCACAGAGTTCTGCCAAGAATGAATCAGTTCGCAATAAAAAAAATTTAAAATTACAATAACTTTTGATTTTTATTTCAGATTAATCACGTAAATATTTTAAATTGTCCTGTAATAAACGTTTAATATGGCCTAATATTTAACGTAGAGACAAAAATATTTCATAATAAATGGAATAAAAGCTGAATGGGAGCAGTGTTGGATCTTTATTATATAATGTACTTCACCTCTAAGACGTCATTTTCTGCTTAAGTGTGGCCTGTCTTTGTCTTTATTTGGCCTAGAAAATTATATTGGATATAGATTTTTCCTTTTTTTTTAATCCTATATGGGTCCCAATTTGAACCTAAATAAATACACTGAGAGTCAAGGTTAGATGTCCCGTTTCACAAACCACCACAACGTTTATTCACCTTTCACCTATTAACCAAAAAACAAGAAAGAAAGAAAGAAAGAAAGAAAGAAAAATCACCTTCTTGAACAAAGAAATCAACAGTCCGGCTTAGGAAAAGTCATTTTTCTCAATTCCAACAACCTTAATAACAACGCTTGGACGTCCACGTGGGTCTTTACACTGACATCTTCTCAACTTTAATTTGCGTTTATATTTTTATTTTTAGATGGGAAAACAGATTATTTTATGTCTGATACTAAACAAAGTGAAAGTAAGGCTGTTTGCTCATCTGATGAACTCAAACCCCGTCATTAGAGCGGCCTGTTTGTCTTCAGCCACACCAGAAGGAAATCTTCTCTTCTGTCCGCTGAAAAAAATGTTATGACTTATAATGTAATGCATGAGCCTAGAGTCGGACTTAAAATACACTTTTAGATTTACACTCAAAATATTGAAAAAACAAATAAACAAAAACAAACAAAAAAAAACAACAACACATAATCAGTGTTTTAAACAGAGGAATTTAATAGTAAGCAAAGATTTTAGTTTGATTCGATCTTTTTTTTTTTTCCTGTGTGTCCAGGCGCTTTGGCACAAAATGCGCGGGCTGTCTGCAGGGAATCTCGCCGAACGACTTGGTGCGTAAAGCCCGCAGCAAGGTGTTCCACCTGAACTGCTTCACCTGCATGGTGTGTAACAAGCAGCTGTCCACGGGAGAGGAGCTCTACGTGATCGACGAAAACAAGTTCGTGTGCAAAGAAGATTACCTGAGCTCCGGGGCCATTAAGGAAGTCAACCTGAACTCAGGTGAGCGACGTTGCAAAAAAAAAAAAACCCAAAATAAATAAATAAAATAAATAAATAAAAATAATAATAATAAACAGCTGAGCTGCGCTTATTGGCGGCAAAATTTGTGGGAAGGGCTGGGTGGGGGGAGTCTGAGTGGCGAGAAGAGAGAAATAAAGTAAAATAAATCTGAGAAATAAAGAAAATAAATAAAGCTGGGGGTCCGTGGAGAGCGTTTCCCCACAACCTTGTGGGAAGAATAGTTTCAATATTTACCTCCACAGAACAATAGGTTTCTGGTTTTGTGTAGCAGGGTCCGTAGGGGCGGGGGGAATGAGGATGTTAGTGTGGCGCGTCTTGCTGCTCCTCTTCTTGTCTATTCATCCTTAAAAAAAAAAGAAAAAGAAACACACACACACACACACACACACACAGGAGGACAGCATCCACCCTGCATGCTCAAGCTGCTCGGTTATTTTCGGTTTATTCTCATGGAATATTATCGTGTTAGTTTATCGTTAAGTGTATTTGGTGAGAAATGAAATGGCTTCTTATTTCTATTCTCTTTATAAAAATAAAAATGAGCGTAAAATAGAATATTTTGTTCAAAATGAGCAGAATCTGAAATTTTACATTCAGATTTCTTTCTTTTATTATTTCCAACACCTGGGCTAATTAAAATTAAACCGCCCCCTCCCCTCCCCTTTCTCTGCCTCCCTCCTTGACATTTCGGATCGTGACCTTCCCTCCTTGTTTGTTTGCATCACCCCCCTCCACCCACTCACCCCCCACCTCACCCACCCGGGGCTCCCCGGGGGTCCCCCCTGCAGTCTCGTCGTGCACAGATAGGAGTTTATCGCCGGATCTCCAGGACCCGATACAGGACGACATAAAGGAGACGGACAATTCCACGTCCTCAGATAAGGAAACGAACAATATTGAGAACGAGGAGCAGAACTCGGGGGCCAAGCGGCGGGGGCCCCGGACCACCATCAAGGCCAAGCAACTGGAGACGTTAAAGGCGGCGTTCGTGGCCACGCCGAAGCCCACGCGGCACATCCGGGAGCAGCTCGCGCAGGAGACGGGGCTGAACATGCGAGTCATCCAGGTAAACTCAGAATATTATTATTATTAACAGATATATGGATATATATTTATGATTTACTTTATTTAGAGACCGCATTGAGATGCTGAAACAAACGTAGTAACCTTGAACCATCGGAGATCAAATCGACATCTTTTTCTCCGATTATTTCGTCGGCCTTATTTTTATTTAGTCCAGAAAAATCAGTTAAAAACTGAACCTGCCGAGCAGAAACAAAGATGGAGGCCATTTGAGTTTCGCCGACAGTTGAGCGTTTTTTCCGTTTCATTCTTTGCCTACTTGTTTATATTGTTTAGCCTTTTTGGCCTATTCAAAGCAAATATTGTTGAATGTCTGACTTGGTAAGCTCATGTGATAAGCACCAACCACCTTTCTGCCACATTTAAATGGTTGCTAATAATGTCATTTTTACATGTATCCAATGAAAGCTTGGATGGAAGCTTGAATTAGTAATGCAGGGGCGTCTCTAGAAAGTTTAAAAAGGGCCAAGGTGGGGGGGGGGGGGGCAACGGGGTTGGCAGCCCCAAACTTCAAAATTATACCAGAATCTACAGTTTTTCTTTTTTATTATATCATAAATGATTCTCTAAAAAATGACATTTGTCGCAAGTCATTAAAACTCATCATTCAGAAAAAAAAAATCGCAGTCATAAAACAAAGACGTTGGACCGCGTGGGGGGTTGGTCTCCCCCTTGGTGGCGCCCTGCTGAACCACAGTAGGCAAGACAGACTCACCGAGACAAAGACAAATTGGAGACAAATGACGGATTATAAATCAGTAAAATTACCTTTTAATTTTCCCGAAGTGTGCGGGACATTTAATTGAAAGCCTCATTATCTGTAAGAGAAATGTCAAAACATGATGTGGACCATTAGCGGGGTTACAGATCCAAATTTACCGGCTGCACGCCATGTGAAATGTTTCTTTTAGGTCTATACATTATGGACCTATTTGGGTAATAATGATAAAACGATAATAATGGCTGCAGTAACAGTCTGTTTATGTTTTTAACCATACAAACACCTGGAATGTTACAGTAAAACAGTATTTATGGTGAAGAATATCTTAAAAACTACCAAAAAAGTTACTATTCCAAACCACGTATTTAAGTAATTGTAAGTCAGTTTATTAAGTGCTAATTGCCAAATGTTCATATTATTTAACCTTTATTGTTGTGTATTTTCTGATTGTTAGATATGTTACTTACTGTATTATTATTATACTAGCTTAGATTTATTTATTTTAAAGAGGACAGTGCATATTAGTGAACATGAATACATCATGTAAATATGCCAGATTTAGCCTAAGAGGCTAATTTCCATCTGTAGTTTCCTAGCAGGTTGATGGAAGAGATTAAAAAATACAGTTGACATGCAGAACAACATATATGACCTATGATTTATGACATATTTCAATGTATAGCTAAGGTTACAGTAAGTATTTGTAATAAAAACAAAAACAACTCACAACCGTAATGGAAAAAATAGTGTAAAAACATTTAATTAAAAAATGATTCAAAACATCAGTTCAATTTTGATTATCTAGCTTAAATGAGTTCCTAAAACAGTTCAAAGACATCATAGTTTTTAATTCTATTATAATCAACTGTTATTGTAGCTTTTCAAAGTGATATATTTATGAAACTCATTATTTCTAAACATTTTGTTTTCATTTTTTTCCTACAGTTTAGAATTTCTTTAAATGTCATAAATACATTTGAAATAGTACCGGGAAATGAAAAATGAAAAATTGTAAAAAATACCAAGGTTCAGTTTTAAAGTTTATCCTTGAAACAAAAGGTTAATTTAATCTTGAAAAATAAAATAACCCTTTTTTTTTCTTTTTTTCTGGGCTGCTTTGGGAATGATAAAGACCATGTTTACACTAGAGGCAGCAGTTTATTTGGAAATAATACATGTTTCACAGCCATGAAATGAGAGAAAGGTTAGCCTCACTGCCTGCCAATGCTAAGAGGAACCCCAGACACAAACATGTTGTGCAACGTAACACACACACACACACACACACACACACACACACACACACACACACACACACACACACACACACACACACACACGCACGCACACACACACACACACACACTGATTCCTGCTTTCTTTTATCCTCCATGACTCACACACACACACACACACACACACACACACACACACACACACACACACACACACACACACACACACACACACACGTACGCTCGCACGCGCGGATGCACGAGTCGGGTGTCTGGGTGCAGACTGTGTCAGGATGATTAGCACCATCTCTGCCAACTGTGATGTGGCTTTTTGTGCACTCACTGTAATTATCGCTGATTTCACAGATTTACATACCGCCCTCCCCTTTTCCCACCTCCCCGCGCCGCTCTTACTCACTTCCAGCCTGTTTCCTCCGCATCTCCACGGCCTCGTCTATATCATACACGCCAGGCAATTTTCTCTATGTGTATATCTGTGTGTGTGTGTGTGTGAGCTCAATCATACAGTCAATCACCAAAACCAGTCAATAAGTCAGTCAGTGAGTCCACCGCACCATCCCTCCCTCCCCCCCACACCCCTTTATATATATATATATATATATATATATATATATATATATATGTGTGTGTGTGTGTGTGTGTGTGTGTGTGTGTGTGTGTGTGTGTGTGTGTGTGAGATTGCTCAGAGCCAAAATGGAGGCTGTGTTTCGTCATCTCCCTCCTCGTTCGGTGTGTGTTAAATACCGCAGCTCTCGACGCGGGGAGCCCTGTGAGCCACGCTGCTTCTCCAGCATGTGGATGTAATCCCTAAGCAAGGCTCTCTCAAGGGAAGCGAGAGCATTTCCATAAAAATGTACCCTACAGTTAGACGATTGTTCTCAATAAGCAGGTGTTGCCTTTGCTGCTGGAGCACGGAGAGCACAGCCTAAGTGGTTTTTGGCTGTTTCTTTATGTGTGTGTGTGTGTGTGCGCGCGCGTGCATGTGTGTGTGTTGTTTTGTTAATCTGTAGCACAGTGGGATTCTGCCTCTGGTGTAGCCTAGCATGGTGCGAACATACATCATTATGCAGCATGCGATGCAAACGGAGCAAACGCGACCTGTTATGTGCTTGTAATGCAAAGAGCATTCCTCCATATGGTGAGGGAGGCTTTGCAAATTTAAAAAAAAAAAATCCTCCTTTGTTGGTTTTCAAAGAAAGTTTATTTAAGCATATTCTCTTCTGTTTATTTGAACTTGCGGCGCGGGGGCCGTTAGGGGCGCACACCGTTTCTGTTGCTTTGTGATTCATCTTAAAGTAGTGTAACAAAGAGAAAAACTCCTTTATAAACTGTAAAATGCAACAAAGGTGTTTTATCTGCTGGCTTTTTTTTGTTTTGTTTGCAATTTCTATGTCTGGTTTGAATTTGTTGTGCTTAGGCGATAAATCGATTAATCGCATGATAAATTAAAAGCTCAATAATTTCCATTTGCATGATTTTTTTCTCTCTTTTTACTAAAAACTGAATGACAAACATCTTAAGTCTGGTGCTTTGGTCTCAACTTGCCCTTTTTTGGAAGGAAAATTTTGTTTACAGAGATTTCATATTTCATTTTATATGTTGTTTCTGTTGTTTTGTTTGTTTATTTTCGATATTTAAAATGTCTTCCAGTTCCAGTGATAAATGTTCAGAGGAACTTTAGTGATCTTTGACAATGTTTTCTGGCATTTTACGCTGTTACCTTTACTCAAAAATTGGTCTCAAAAGAACAATATCATCGTTTATCGCAATAACTAATGGGAAAATTTATCGTCCAGAAAAGTTTCATGGCAGGCCTGGTTGTTCGCTCCAGCACCGACAAAAAAAGAGAAAAAGATACCAGCTTTTAAGAGTAAAGTCCTGATACAGTAAATCTTTTATTGTAATTAAACTAAAGTTTAATTTCACGGCCTACTGCTGTCTTTACTTTTAATCTTGAGTATAGTTAAAAGAAAAAAAAAAGAGTTTCTTGAACCGTATTATTCATAGATCAAAGAACTTAAGAATCACAAAAGAAAGCACAAACACTTGTGCAAATAGGGGCAGAGGTGTCTTAAAACGGGATCCAAACAGGTCAGAAGTGAATCCTTCCTTTATTTTTCAAAAACACTCCTTCGTCGTTTTGAATACGAGGCTTTTCAAAGAAGGCAGAAACTTGAGTGAAAGTCAAGGCTGATGGGAATGACGGCTTTCAGTGAAAACTCTGCAAAAGAGACGCACAAAAAATGAAATGGAGCCTTACCACAAAGTACGTACCAAAAGTAGACGATGCACAACTTTTTCTGCTAAACATGCGATTAGGTGGATCTTAGAAGTGCGTGAGAGTTTCAGAAACAAAATCCAGATGAAAAGCTAAAATACCTGCAGGAAAAACGGCCACTGATCAGCTCTGCCATTGTTTTCTTTTTCTTTTTTTTTTGCTGTTGTTGCTGTTTTAAGGTTTGGTTCCAGAACAGAAGATCCAAAGAGCGGCGAATGAAGCAGCTGAGCGCCCTGGGGGCCCGACGCCACGCCTTCTTCAGGGGCCCCAGGAGGATGAGGCCCCTAGGAGGCAGGTTGGAGGACCCAGACATTTTAGGACCTGGGCCCTACGGTTACTACGGAGGTAGGAAGGGAAAAACTCTTTAACTCATTTTCACACACTTTTTATTCGGCCTCAAGCAAACACGATCCATGTTCAGGTTGAACATCTGTATCAAGAACTTAACATTATCAGTGTGGGTAGAACGACAGGAAGACATGATAAAATGGTTTGTTGTGCTGGTATTGTGGATGCAGTCCAATGAAAGTGTTTTTGGATATCACACTACTTTCCATTAGCTACTTGTTTTTGTGTTCAGAAATGCAGCCAAGACCTTAATTTGACTCAGGCACACACCAGTCATTTTGTTGGTATTTTTAGTAAAAAGAGACTTTTGTTAATTTATCTTAGTGCTTATAATTGAATACCACCTATTCAGTTTGAATCAGATACCCAGCTACCAAATCAGAGTCAAAACCCTAGTATTTTGGCTAATTACCAAAACCACAAATTTGATCAGAACATATTTTAAAAAGTCCTTTTATTTGGGATAAATGCCTAAAAAATATGCACCTGTGACCATCATTACGTATAAAAGTACCAGTTTTCTTTGATAAAAAGTAGCAATAAACTACATATTGCCAAAGCTTTGCTTTCCAACATTACTAACTTTCTGCTCTAAATATGAACATGTCATCAGCAAAGAAGTTAACCGATGCAGGTGTGTGGGTATTCAGACAGGTTTTTATCCAAATTAGAAAAGCTGTGGCTGAAATATCCAATTTCTTATGTTTGAAAAGACAAAGAAAATAAATGAAATACATCAATAACTAGAAGCAATAAGTGGTTTGTTTGAAAAATCCATGGCGACAGCTCCGTTTAAAATGGTTCTGGGTTATTTGATAGGTATGGATGGCTGAAAAACACGTACATTTGTTTTGCTAAATCGCTGATCCAGACATTAGAACTTAAAAAGTACTTTTCACTATTTATGGGTTGCATCACATAAAAAAGTTTGTTTTTGTAGATAATCTTGGTTTCTGTGGGTGATTTGGTACAGTATGATTCGAATCGTCTCTTTTCTCCTCTTTTACGTCAGAGTTGATTTTTGGAATGGACAAAAGGCAAGAATGCATGAAATGCGAACAAATACCGTGGTGGCAACTAAATGACACAACGTCCATTAGAACCAAAGGTAAACGGGAAGGTAGCTTTTCATTTCAGGAAAAAAAAAATCCAGAATACAGGTCTCCAGAAAAACAGAGAGAAACAAAGAAAGAAATTCTACGCAGACGCTAGTTAGGCCGATTCTGGAATCTCTTTATGTCACAGATAAAATATGTGGAATAAATATTTACTCAGCATATCAGCAGTGTTCACATACAGACCCTGTTATCTCAAAGGAATCATGCTCTGTGTGCTGTTTTTGTCAGATTAGACAAATGACAGGCCAGGTCTTAAGAATGTGATGTGAAACTTCCTCCATCTGCGAGAGTTGTCGCCAAGGTTGAGCCCTATTTACCTGCTAAAGAGCTGGAAAGACTTATTGATGCTTTTATCACATCACAACTGGACCACTGTGATGCTGCTGATCAGATTTTACCTGGCACTAAGACTCGTGAATGCGTCACGCCGGTCTTGGCTTCTCTTCGCTGGCTTCACGTCCCATCCCAAGTTGATTTTAAAATTTTAGCACTTGATTTTAAAGCTTTTAATAGTTTTGCTCCTACCCTATTTAAATGATCTCTGCTACATCCACACACCAGTGAGAGAACTCGGGTCTACCAGTCGGTTTCTCTTTGGTAGTCCAATGTTAGAGAATAATCTGTCGTAGGAGCTGGACATTTATTATATCGTTTATCATATCTGGTGAGGATTTTGATTTATCGTTGTCATGATAAAGTTCAATTAATGATTTTAAAAAAGTGACTTTATCGTAAATGTTATTTTTAATGTTTTCTCTGCTGATTGCATCAATAAATATCAGTAAATTTCAACAAATTACACTTCTTTAAGTTGGTAGTGTTGTGTAAAAGTCTGTTTCAAGTGGGATTTTTTTTGGAGAACAGTATTTTTGTGGAGCTGTGATGTGCCATACAAAATAAATAGTTTTTCATCATCATTTTCATTGTTATCACAATAGCATTGCAAAATATCGCGATAAAGCTCTCAGTCCATGTTGCTCACGTTTGTTCTATTGATTCATGAGCTCACAACTCAGAACAGAGAGATTTTCAAATCATTGCTTCGAACAGATCTTTTTTACTTTTACTTACTTACTTGTAACTTTTAAATTGATTCTATTGGCTCTCATTGTATTGTTTTAACTACTTTCTGTTATTAAAAAAAAATCTGCTGTATGAATAAACCTTACATTGTCAACATAAAATGTGTATGTAGATCCTCTCAAAGTGCATCTACCACTTTTCTGTATTAGATTACTTATGCCTACAGCACAGTAAGTCATGGACTAGTTACTATTATCAAGGTGCATCAGAAACCCTTTAACTATCATGAAGACGCCAGCGTCCTCATGAGCCGATTGACTTACATCAGTGGTGCCCAAAGTCAGTCCTCGAGGGCCGGCATCCTGCATGTTTTAGATCTCTTCCTGGTGGTTGTAACAACCTTCTCAGCAGGTCAATGTTCCTCTTAGGCCTCTAATGACCCATAATCTGATCCAGGTGTGTAAAATCAGGGAGAGAATAAAAACATACAGGATGCGGGCCCTCCAGGACCGACTTTGGGCTCCGTTGACTTGCATTTTAGCGTTTTGAGGGTGACAGTTAAGGGGTTAAAAGTTTCAGTTTCAAAACTGAGATCATTCCTAAAGTTTAAAGTTCGTTTAAGGCGCCGCCAGTGACGAAGCGACTGGAGTTATCTCCGGCTTTTTGAATCCTAGCGTCATGCAGCGCTGCCCTTCCCCCACTAGTTTACTCATGGTTGTCAAACTGTAATCTCATGCTGACCCATGCTTCCTAGCAATCATGCAGGCAAACATAGTCGGAGAAAGAAAATGTATTGTGTAAACTCTTATGGCGATGAACCATCTTCATTTGGTCATTTTCAAATCGCAAAGGTTTGAAAACGTGACACTTTCTGTAGAAATTTTGGGAGTTACCTGGAAATCTATTGATAATTGAACACACTATCACATAAAAACATGAAAGTCATATGATGTTGGCAAGTTAAACATTAATGGCAAGTTAAACATTAAATCTATATATGTTTATATTTCATATAAACATATATAGATTTATCCACAATTATCATCAGACATGTTAAAGTTATCAAATCCATAGATTGAAAAATGTGGCATCAATAAATAGTCCAGGGTTCTAGAAACCGTCAGGGTGTGGCCTCCAAACGTCTGCAGGTAGCAGTGTGCAGTTTATTGAGGACTAGCATATACATAAAAATCCAGTTGATTTTGTTAATATTATACTACCAAACAATACTTAAAAATCACCGTTACAGGTGAACCTTAGATATTTTAGATTTCCAGGTTTGTTCCCATAATAATAAATACATTTTTGCTATTTTTTTTTAAGAACAAGTAGAAATCACTCCATCCAACAAACAACTCAGAGAACTTTTGCAACCCGGAAGAAGACACCACTACTGCTCAGGCTGAGTCACGCGCCTGCTGGATTAGCATTAGCAAATAAATCTTTGCCAAAAGAAATTCAGCCCTCGACGGACAGACAGGAATATCTGAACACAAAACCGACCAACAACTACGGCACCGAATTAAACAGGAGAAATAAAGCAGATGCACCTCAGTGATTCTTGAGAAGAGGGACAAAACAGGTCCTATGGATAAATCACAAAAATTGGATAAAATATACACAAAATATAATTTTTTCAAATATCTGACTAAACTAACCTGGGCCATGTGAGCACAACAATGTATATTTTCCTGCTGTTTGCTGAATATTTTTTTTAATTTATTTTAAACATTGTAGTAGGTGACTAGTGTCTTCAAAATTTGTTGTCCAGGAGCAGAACTCAACAGATTATAATAGTTTAAAACAATTAAAGAAATACTAAAATCCTATATTATGACAATTAAGTATAAGTAGTCATACAAATAATGATAAAAGTATCAATAAATTGAATTAAAAATCATTTTTATATATTTTCCAACTCCATTGAAATTTGTCCCTAGTTTTTGTCAACACCATCACACATGAAAAGAATGTAAAAAAAAAATCAGGCATTATTGGGGGGCACCAGAACTTCTGAGGACCCCATGACGTCGTCTTTTCTCTTCCTTTGCTAAGAGGCTAGTTAGCTCTGGTTAGCTTAAGTTATTCTTTAGTTTTTTCTTCTGTTTTATTCCTAAGTTGCTTGTCACAACCATGATGTGTCAACTCCATAACTGACAATTTACAAAACTTTGATGAAATTTTGTGAAATAAAAGCTTAATTCTAGTATAATGTAAAGATTTCATGGACCTGATGAGCTACAATATGGCCTCCTTCAGAATAACATCATATAAATTGAGGTAGTTTGGCATTTTGTCAACTCAGTCAGATGTCAACGCCATGAGAGTTTTTGTGACTCTTTCAGTGAAATTGTTGTCAAATCTCACTTAAATGTGCAATTAATTCATTTTAATGTATTTTACATAAATTGCATTACTTCACAAGTGAGTTTTTCTTTTTACTCACTAGTTTGTCACCACCTTCAGTTCTGTGTCAACTCCGTCATGCACTGTCAACTCCATCAGATGGACTTTTTATTTTTTGTTTTAAATAATATTTCTTTTGTTTCTTGAGAAGCATTTGTCTGTAAAAATGAGTAAAACATCACTAATAGGGTCATTAAAAAATATTTTATATTTATTTTTGTCAGATGGTGATGACAAAGTTCTGGGTCAGGTCGATTAAAAATGTAATTTAAAAAAAAAATGTTGCAACGGAGAGTCTGTACCTTAGCATCTTCACATTTCCAAAACATTATTTGTCATATTTGCATACATAAGGTTGAGAAATAATAAAAAAAAAATATGGGAAAATTAAAACCCATTTTGTCCCAATTCTCAAGAATCACTGACCTGTCATGTTTATGAGCTATATTGTTTTGATGGACAGTCGGAGCGCTGCTGTGGTCTCCATACATCTGCAACACCTACCGGAGGGGGCCTTGGCATTGAGGATACAATAAAGTGGAGCCGTCAAGGCTGCGAGGAACCGAGCTGGGAGGAGGGGGTGAAACAGAGGACAAAACCTCTATGCCTCTCTCTCTGTCTGTCCATCTCTCTCTTTCTCTCATCTCGCTCTTGTCTCCGCGCGCCGCTTTTCACACCCTTTTGTGCGACGGCGGCACAGGCCGGCCGATTCCCCTTTATCTGAGCCGACGCCTCTCTTCGTCAGGGATGTCTGTGTGTGTGTGTGTGTGTGTGTGTGTGTGTGTGTGTGTGTGTGTGTGTGTGTGTGGCTTGATGCTGCCGCATGTGTGAGTGTAATTATAGCCCGCAGTTTCCAACACTCCCCTCAACACAGCTCACATTCACACATGACGTGCTCTATACCCAAACTAGCGCGCGGGCCTGTTGGGCACACAAGATAATTAGCATGTGCGGGAGAGCGACGTCACGTCTTATTGGGCGCGTGTGAAGGCAAAACACTCTGAAATTGAAATCAGGCGGCGGATATCTAACCTGTTAGTTCCTACTTTCTGCCCGCTCTGGACCCAAATGGCAGCGCGGGCAACATATGGTGGGACTCGGAGAAATGCGAGTGCAACATCTGGGGCGCCAGGATAAAGTCTGCCATTGATCTCGGCTCGAGGTGCCGCTGAGACAAAATGGCTTTAGTTTAACTGTAGAACAGGAAGGCGGTGAGAGGCAGAAGGCAGATGGAGGTTTGTAATTGTTAATGGATCTAAAGGAGCAGCAGCAGCATACAGGTGTTGCTTTAATCCTTTTTAAATGGTTGGGCTACTTTTGGTTTAATGATTCTAAAACTCATGGAGCAAGAGGTTCTGAAATGATCTTCAAGAAGTTAAAAAAAAAAGATTCAAATTCAGAATGACCATTTTAAGATTTAGAGGTGGGTGGATTGATCGAAACTAAGCATATATCGGTATCGGCTCAATTCTAGTGTGCCAAAGTCGAAAATTTAGACTCAGATCCCCTGTTGAACTTTTTTCATTTTTTCATCGTAGTTTCTCAACTTCACGTTAAAAAGATTTGGCTTTGATTTGCTCTCAAATCATAATTCTTTGCACTGAGTTTCTTCAGAAAATCAATCAGAGAATTTTGTTTTGTTCTTCTGTTGTTTTTATTTATTATGTTAATATGCTACTAGTGTTTTGTAGTAACCTATAAACTTTATCTAAATTCTGTCTGTAGGTTTAACAAAACAATTCAAAAATCAGAAGTATCACACTTAAAGTATCATTGTAAATATCACGATACTGGTCCTGTATTTACTTGATATTGGATTAATGCAGTCTACTAAAAATGATAAAAGTTATTGAAGTCAAAATTGAATCTGTCTTTGATACAACTATCTATCAAAATCCTTAATTACAAACATTAAAAACATGGTTTGCATCCTAAATAGGACGTACTTCTTTTCGTCTCACACTTAGTGCAGGTTCTAAAAAAAGAAAAAAAAAATACACGAAATATGAGCTACTTAAGAGATTCCTCTCTGATCAGTAAACCCATTTTCTTCACTAAGACCGTACATAGACCTCATTTAGACACTAAACATGTGTGTTACATATGACTTCGTATCTGTTTTGTCTTAGGGTTAGAGCAGGCAAATTGCCTGGTCTGAAGTGATCTAATCTTAGAATATAAAATTGACCAGAATGTTATTAAACTATGCAATAATACCACAGAAAAAGCATTTTTCACCTTCACTTTACTAGATTTCAATTGCGACAGTGCGGTAATAATATTAATCAAAAAGAAAAAGACTCAGTTTGTGAAATTGAGGAAATACTGGTAAATATGATAATATATTTACATATTTCTGCTCTATTGTTGAATGGAAACAGCACAAATTTCAATCTAAAACGCTGTTAAACATTGGCTACAGCACAGTGAAGAAAAATACAAAAGTTTCACTTTTGAACCAAATTGATCCAATTTTAACTATGAGATCTATGAGGTCTCACCTATGAACAACTAATACATTCTTTAGATCAATTTCCTACCCAAAAAATATAACTGGATTTCTATTAAGCAACAAATGGGTTCAAAGGTCAGTCCTGTATCAGCTACTGTATGTAGCACCATGCTGAAGAAGACCTAACAAATGTGTTCATGTGTGCAGAAGTGAGCACTACAGAGAAAGTGAAGGGTTTGGAGTAGAAAAAAATGTTCAGGTCCTTTATGAGTTATTAACATGACAGCTTTCATAAACTTAATCATTTTGCAGGGACTGACAGCACAGAACTCGACGCCAAAGGAACGTTTGTCATGTTGGCTAACAATAGCTGATATCACTGCAACATTATCAGCAAAAATAAAACATAAGACAGTTTTTCCACTATCTACCAGGTGAACCATATAAAAAGTTTTAAAAAATGAAGAAAAAAAATAATACTTTTTGCATTAATTGTAGCGTAATAGTTCATAAGTATTTTAAACTGCAACTTTTCTAACTTCCTGCAGTGACAGACTGCACTGCAGTGCTTGGATGTGAAAAGGAAGGTTCAGATTCAGCTTTTGTTTGAGTTTTTTCTAAAAACAACAGCAAAAAAACAAAAACAAAAAAACAACGCTCCTTGGTATTGCTTTATTTTCATAAACAAAGTCACATTGCTTTATTTTGGTCTCCAAAATAAAGCAGTGTGAAGTTTAAACCCCGACAACTTTACCATTCATGTCCAAATCCATGAAGTATCTTAGACCTTTTTATGAAAATTTTGAAAATTACAAAACAATTTTTTTCATCAATGAATCAATAAAGTAAAAACAAGAAAAAAAGATTAACATAAAAGCATTTATTTTTTTGTTATTTGTGTTTTATGTAGATGTAAACATTTGATGGTCACGCTTTGTGGAGGGTTTGAAAACGACTAAGCCTGGTTATCCGCATGAAAAATACACAAATCTGCTCTGAAAACCATCTAGCTTTTTTTTTTAATTTGTTTTTTTTTTTGTTTTTTTTTTTTAAGAGACAAATTTTCAGGATTTCAGGGCCCAGATTTTTTGAAATCC